GTCGGCAAATCGGCGCGTTTTAAAATAGTTTGAATTTAGGCACTTTTGATTGCCTATGAAAAACTTATTGAACCTTGTAGAACATTTTTTTTTGGTATATATGCCTAAAATAGTCCCTCCTTTGAGATTTTATACTTAAATTACGTATTTAAATTTTAGTGAAAGAGCCCATTGCAATAGTAGTTCGTAAGAAAAATAATGGGAAACTTCATCTATTCGTTTTGAAATAAATGGTGAAAAACCACTTTTTTTTTCAGTTTTTGCGATATAACTCAAAAATGGCGAGTCAAATTTACTTTAAAAAATTATGGATTAAAGTATATCGATAACCATAAAACATATAGTTTTTTTGGAATTTTTGAACACAAGGTTCAGAAAATAGGGGTTGACTTTAAACCTTAAGGTGTTGATCAAAAAAATGGGGTCCTATTATGGGGTCTCAAATTATGCCTCCCGATACATTTACACTCATCCTATGCTGCTGGTGTACAGATCTCACAAAATTTGGATTTGCATCCGCATAGAAATGTAAATTATGTCTGTTCACATTACCATTATTGTGGAATGTCGCCTCATCGGTGAACAAATCGTACATCTTCTCGAATTCGAGCAAGACCCCAATTACAAAAATTAACTCTATTTTCAAAATCTTGTCCTTCAAGCGCCTGATTTAGATGAACACGATATGGATGGAACTTGTTTTTCTTCAAAATTCTCCCAAAAGTTTGACCTACGCCACACAAGTCACTTATTTCAGCAGAGTTGTTTTTGTTTTCTGTATTTTAGTTGCGTATAAATATAGTGTTTTTCACTGATTCTTTCACAGTTTAGCAATCGTATTGATATTTTTTACATTCTTATACAGGTTACAGGTATTCCATTGTCTTTAAGTAAATTTTTCTTTAAAAATATTTATTTTACAACTAGCGTCATCTATCAACAAGTGTATAAAATTAGTTTCATATTATTCACTTTATGTCTGATACACAAGTTTAATATGAATCTAATGAGATTAAGGGCCGGTATTTCAATGTTACCTCAAAATCAAGACTTACCTAAGGTAACCTTATCGTTAAGGGGAACTTGAAATCAGTTCATTCCAGGTAGCTTAAGATCCACCTTGAATTAAGGAAACTTTGATATACGGTGAAACTTGTACAGGGTGACTCAGAGTAAATTTCCCTTTTCGAACGCGCCCTGTACATCCAACTTAATATTTGTGGGAAGGTAAGCGCTGGCAATATGCGGCGACTGCGTGCGGATTATCAGCAGTGGTCGAACGAGCAACGCGTGTTTATGGTTTAGGCGTTTTTTAAATCGAATGATTCTTATGTCGCGGAACGGCGACGTTTTTGTAACCGTAACTATATCCGGCGTATACGTGACGCTACGTCAAAAAATGTATTGAAATCGTGGGTTCAAAGATTCAAAGTGGTATAGTGGCAATTGGCAAATCAGAAGCGTCCCGCCATGTTTTCGAATTGAGCCTTTCGGATTTTCAGTCGCAGCACGTCGCACAATCCCAATGTTCTTTGGCGTTCTGATGGACTTCTGTTGGCCGGTACGCTTCGGATTTGCCATTGGACCAATTTGTCTGAATCTTTGACCCCATAATTTCAATAAATTTTTTGACGGAGTATCACGTATACGCCGAATATTGTAACGGTTACAAAAACGTCGCCGTGCCGCGACATAGAAATCGTTTGATTTAAAAAACGCCTCGACACTGAACGCGCGTTGCTTGTTCGATCACTGCTCCATGTTCACTGATAATCCGCACGCAGTCGCCGTAAATTGCCAGCGCTAACCCCTCCACAAATATTAAGTAGGATGTACAGGGCGCGTTCAAAAAGGGAAATTTACTCTGAGTCGCCCTGTATTAAGGATGACTTAATGTTATTCTGTACCTTAAGGTGACATTGAAATACCGGCCCTTAATTTATTTTTTATTCAATGATAACTAAAACACTAAAATCACAACCGAATCTCAAATCTACTAAAGTAAAATATGAACAGAACAATTTAGGAGCAATATGACGGAGCCAATCAAAAATGAGACATTATATTGTCGCCACTTGTTGGAAGAGATAATAACTATAATCGCTGTAAGCTAACGAGTAACAATTGTTGTGATTTCTTGAGCCATGGCCTGCACTTATTTTAACATTTTCTGTGCAAAGTTAGGAAAAATTGTTAATTATCCTAAAAATAATAGTCCGATACATACGGCAATCTTAATATTTTCTGAAAGCAGTGAAAGCACACATTTCCAACTTTTCAATTGCAAAATAAATATATGGGGTGTTGTATTTAGGAAACTCAATTAAAATGGAATTTAAAATTGACACGTTTAAACAAATATTTTGGACACCCTGTTTAATTAAATCGAACAGTGAAGATAGGTAGCTTAGGAGAAACTAGGGTATATAGACAATTTAAAAAAGTATGTTTTGGTCTATTTTTTCTTCAAAAAATCGTAACTTGGCAACGCTGCATACGACCCAAATACGAATTTGAAGTCGAATACAAAACCCATGCAGGCTTCATTGGCCACATAAAAACATAAGTAAGGTATACTATTTAACAAAAATATAATTCTTAGTTTTACTCGTTTTTTAGACACCCTGTATACCTACTTGAAAATAGTTTCAGGTAATACCCGAAAAGTTAAAACTGGTACATATTGAGAAAACTTTCCCAAAAATTCAACGAGTTGTACTATACTATTGACCGACACAAATAAGAAAGTATAAGGGTAAGAATAAAGAGAAGCATTCAACTCAGTTAGGTACTTCGTAAATGTTGCAAAATGTAAATAGGTCTTTGACTGACAAGTTAAATAAGTGCTTACAATGAATTGATTTTGTGTGCCATATTGTTATGTTAATTTGGAATAATGTTGAATTTTTGAGCCATGCAGCCAGCTATTTATCCCATTGTCTGCGCAAAGTTAAAGAAAAATCTTAATATCTCAAAATATTAATGCGATAGATAAGGCAAATAAGGATATTTTCTGAAAGAGGACATTTTCAGCTTTTCGATAGAAAAATAATATATGGGGTGTTCTATTTGAAAAACTCATTTAAACTGGAATTTAAAATTGACTTGTTTAGACAAATATTTTGGACACCCTGTGTACTTAAATCGAAAAATGAAGTTAGTGTAGGAGCAACTAGGCTAACATTAGATTACATGTAAATTTTTAAGGGAAATTAATTTATAGTGGCGGAGATATGACAATTTTAAAAAAGTATGTTTTGTTCTATTTTTTTCTTCGAAAAATCATAACTTGGCAACGCTACATTCAACCCAAATACGATTTTAAAGTTGAATACAGAGCATATAGAGGATTCATTTGCCACATAAAAACATATGGTATTCCATTTAAAAAAAAAAAAAGATAAAATTTGTGATTACTCTTTTTTGACACACCATGTTTACTTGAAAATAATTTTGGGTTATAGCAGAGATGAAATGCTAAAACTTTTATACAGAATATTTTTCCATAAGTTCAACGGTTTGACTACTATTGACCGAGGCGCGCTTGTTGGACTACCCTGTATAAAGCTTAACAAATTGATTTGTTTGAAACATGTTTTATAAATTAAGTTTGTTTAACAAATAATTTTTGAACCATTTAGGTTAGTTTATAATAATTTAGTAAGTTTTGTTCCTCAGTGGTAACTAACTTCCCCTCCAACTTCCCCAATATTTATTGGTTTGGTATCAGAATTTCTATGAAAAACACTAAATTCTACTTCAAAATTACCTCACCGAGTTCTATTATTCTTAAAAATACAATTATCTCTAGCTTTTCAAATATTTTAAGGGAACTCATATAAATGTTGGGCTCTTTATTATATTTACTGTGTACATTTTTTGTTTTAGAAATACTACATAGGCTAATGTAATATAAAATTGTATTGTATTTGTGTGTTGCAATTTATTATTGTATCGTAATTTTATCTTGTAAATAAGTTTTTTAGCATGAAACAAATAATGTATAAAGTTTCAAAATGAGTCTCACATCTAAGAAGGTCTAGAATACAGAATATCTATCTGAAGTTTTTTTTTTTATTAAGTGAGCTCTCATGGCTTTACTTTCACCAAAAAAAAAAGCTTCCTTTGTGTGATAGCAGTTGAATGAATAAGTGAAGAATTTGGCATCTCATTCTGGAGAAGAAAGTGAGTAAGGAAATAGCTTTTGTCATAAACAAATAATAGTTGTACTAGGTGTTTGTTTATAACTGGAACACTTAGTAACTTTCATATATTATTGAAAATAAAGGGCATGTTTAAGCTGGAAAATTTCTTAGTAAATTGCAACCTTAAGCGCTACAACGATATTTTTTGTCGTCCTAGGTTTACAGGGTGCGCCAAAAAGGTATTTTTTTTTAAATGGAATGCCCTATATATTTTTGTTATCCAAATAATATTTGATATGTTTGTAAAGCTAATTTTCTAAGAATTTCAAAAATGCAAAAATATACAGGGCGTTCCATTTGAAAAAATGACTTTTTTGGCGCACCCTGTATACCTATGGCGACAAAAAAAATCTCGTTGTAGCGATTAAGATCGTTGCAATTTATCAAGAAATTTTCCAATTTAAACATGCCCTTTATTCTCAATAATAAAAAAGTTATTGAGTGTTCCAGTTATAAACAAACACCCTGTACAAGATGAAGCCATATATACTCAAATCCTATATATTTGATTGTATCATTCAACACTAAGATTTTTAACAATTATAGAGTATATTCGTAACTATCTTAAACACTACCAACTAGTAAATCTCAAACATATCACTAAGGTGTTCCTAATTGATACAGGCTTTCCTTCTCTTGTCAGAAAGAAAATCATGACGTCACGATTAGCGAGCATCTAAAATTTTGAAACTTTATAAATTGTTTCGCCTGTTCCGATCTTTCTACTTGAATTTGTCTTGTATTTACCCTATTTGTTTTTTTTTTTAATTCTAATTTTTTTCTTATTCTTTTCAGTGTCCACCAGAATAATGAAGGGCGGAACTTCTAAGAAAATACTATCTATATTATAATTATTACTTATATCAGCTTCAAAATATATCCATTTTATAAAAATAGTAGTGCATATTGTCAACTAGTAGTCATATTTCAACAAAAATTGTATGATTGCCAGTTAATAGACAAAATAAGTGGAACATACTTTATATTTTTACGAATATAAGAAACATTCCAAGTAATTAATTTTTTTCTGATTTACGGGCATTAGTTGATAAAAACATATACCTAATCTTGTAGTTTCATAATTAAAAATTCAATGTATGTTCAAATATAATTTCGGTTTATATGAATAAGCTATTAAGATTAGTTTTTGCAAGTGTTCATTTATTTCTTGTTTGTGACTGAAGATTTTTTTTGTAAGAAAAATTAGGACGTATTTTTGTAAATGTATTTGTGGTTAATTTAGATTTGGGTTTGAAATATGTCTAAGTATTCCATTCTTTTTCTTAGATTGCAACTAAAAACTCAACCACAAATTACCAACAGAAAGAAGAAAGTTCATTGAGCGAGGACCTAACAATTATGTAAAGTACTAACCAGACAATATGTTTTAAAAATTACATACACATTTAAGTTGTTTGGCTTGAAAGGGAACCAACGGACAAGTACAAAATTACATGAAAAAATAGCGTTTTGGTTCCTGCCAAACGGCTTGTCAATTTTCAACCAAATATCTTTGTGTAATCCTAGCTAGTAGGTCTCTTAATTATGTTAATAATTATGTATTTGTGTCACAATAATTGTACTCTATCAATAAAATATTTGTGCTATAATGGTGTTATGATTTTGGCTTTTAAAAGGGAGATATTTGAATTGGATTTTTAATGCAGTGAACAACTGACATAATGCTGGTTGAAAAACAAATAATCTGAGGTATTTGTGGTTACTTCCCAAAGCAGAGTAATTAGTAAATAAAATTGGAAATGTACGGAGATCAATATCATACATGACGCAGTTCTACTTTTGTTTTATTCAAGTGTGTTAAAGTTTGCTTTTTGTGAAAATGGGGATATTTATTGTTTGCCCAGCGGATCTGAGTCTACGGAAGGAATTCGGACGTAAATGTGCCATGTTGCCACGTTTAATTATAAAAAAGCGAAAATACTAGGCATGAAATATAGTTAATTTGAAAATCCATTTTTTGATAACAAAATATTGATAACAATAATAAAACGCTAAATATTTTAACGTGGTTGTTAGACCTATCCTTATTTTAATCCTGATTTCTTCAGTTTGGTCTATCGTAAAAAATAAACATATTCTAAAGATACCATCAGCTTTTGACAATTTGGCAAGCATCCGTCCTGGATGAACCTGATTGGTGGAGTTTTTGGCAGGATCGCCGTTGTCATGAGGAACCATACGGTTGTCAATGAGCTAACGTCACCTTACGTCTCGCTATTGGCCAGGGCTCACGTCATTTTATCCTCCCATCTAGGAATATCGATTTATATTGACATATCCAGTGGCGGAGATTTGGTCATTGCTGATTTTCGTGTACGAGTTGCAATACGATAACACTTCCAAAAAGTTCCGCACGCAGCTGGGTATTTTATGAATGAAATCAGCCATTTTTTTTTACAACTGCATTCCCCTTACCGTTGCCCCGTAGACACAGACTCGCTGGGCAGACATTAGTGTTTTTTTTTAATTCTGAAATCCAAACTAAGTCTAATAACAATATTTTGGGGAACATTTGAGTCGCCGTTAATTTTCAATAAAAAATTGTTGATTTCCAAAATTCCAAAACCTCGTTTTTATCCTCGCATTATTTAGTTTTTTGTTGTATATTTTGGACTACAGTTATAAAATTAATGTAATTTTTTAATTGTTAGTAGGTTTAGTTGTAGAACAACAGTTTTTCTAGTGTTGAAAAAGGATTTATGCCACACGTCATTTTAGTATTAAGAAATCACGAAATTCAGTTTGGCAACGTTGCACTGTCTAATGTCAAGTAGGTTGACCAGCGTTAAACGAACAAGATGCAAATAACAAATGAGAAGTTTCATCATTGTCACTCTTCAGAGCTTAGACAAGGAAAGCATATAAGATGTGCGCCAGAGTTCAGTACGTTTAAATATGTGGGATGAAAACAGCATTTTTGAAAATTATTTTAATAGTTATTTTTGTCACAAGTACCTAAAATGAAGTTTTTCAAGACGAATCATTGCTGTTTCTGGACGAGGCGTTAGCAGAGTCCGGAATAGCAGATGAGAATACAACGTACCAAAGAATAGTACCACTCTGCGATCATACTTAAGTATACTGTTATCTGTATAAAAAGGTGATATGTGATCAAACTTATAAACAATAAATGAACTGAATTTTTTTCTTATATTCCAATGTCAGAAAGTTATAGTAGACTTCACAGCAGTAATCAAGATGAGGCAGTACCAGTAGGGCCTCAACAAACATAAGTTTTACTTTGGGAGGTAAAAAATATTTGAATGAGTACAAACTTCTCAGCTTCATTTACAGTAGAGAATGCTTTTTGTTTCCATGTTGCTGGTCAAAAATCACCCCCAGGTTTCTGGCTGATTCAACAGAGGGAAGCAAAACTCCATTAATATGTGATCTATATAGCAACATACATTGCTCAACCCGAACAATATTTTATCCATAGTGGCTTGAAAGATAACCGGAGCGCTCGTGATACCAAAAGGCATCATTTTATATCTACCTATATAACCCTTGTAAAGTATTAATAATGACCAACTCGTGGAGCCCCGTCTGACAATTCAAGTTGTTGATAAGCATTTTCTTAACATTGCTAAAATATCATTTGGGTTTGGCAATGGATAATGTTCAGTTCTTGAAACTGGATTTATTGAAACTTTGTAGTCGCCACAAATTCTTACCTTTTTTTGATTACCAATACCTCTTTCTACCACAACAATGGGCGAAGCCCATTTCCTGTGACTTACCCTTTCCAGAATACCCAAATCCTCTAGTCTGTTCAATTCATTACACATAACACAACTGATCTGAGAGAATATGGTACCCGTCGAGCTTTACAAAAAATGAGAGTTGGATTATCTTCTAATACAATATCAATCTTACCACCATTATACATTCCATTGCCTGGAGAAAACACTGAATACCTTTTTTTAAATTCATTCACAATTTTATCAATACAAACAGAACTTTCATTGTGTTCATTGGTTGTCAAATTATTAATAATCTGAAATGATATATCTAATTCTTTCATCCGATTTCGAGTTAATAACATTGGACAAGTTCTTATCGAGTCCACTTTGACAACCAATAAACTTAGTTCCTTATTGTGCTCTTTTAAAATGAACAGATACATACATTTCACCTAAAACACTGATGCTAGTCCCTGAAAATTTAAACAACTTAGTACTGCATTGGTGCAATTCATATTTAGAGAAATATTTAACGTAATCATGTTTACTTATCAAGGATACTGAGGCACCTGTGTCTACTTCAAAGTCAACATTTCTACCATCTATCTGAACATTTAAAATAAATGGATTTGTTACCTTAAAAATGTTAGAAACATGAATAGTATATTAAAATACAAGTTGCAGAAGGCCACTTATTATTATTCGTTCATTATTTTTCATTTTTTCTAATTTTTTTGTGGTCGCCTTAGTTGGGGATTTTTTTTTTTTGCAAAATATGTCAGTTGGTGACACTTACTTGCCAACCAACTGACAGGTGGATTCTATCATTTTAGAAGGTTTGACAATTTTGAAGGCACCAATAGGTATACTTTGAAAACTAAATGTCACTAAAAATCTTTGAAGAATGAGCTTCATTCTGCAACGATTTTGCGTGCGAAAATAATGACATTCTCGCACCAAAATCGAGAAACATTTTTTTAGCATTACCAATATCAACTTCATCATCACTCAATTTTTGATCACTACCTTCCTCCTCTTCTTACTCTACAACATACCTTACATTACCATTCTTTATTTTGCATACTTGCCGTAAATGTCCAGTTTTTCCACAGCGATTGCATGAATAATTCAAATATTTACATTTAAGGCCGCGTTAATGGCCGCCATGTTTAAAATGTGATTGGTTGATTTTTCGAAACTTGTTTTAAGGTCTTTAAAAAAACGGCACATCAGAATTGGCTCAAATTTGGCATAAACATTATTTGATCGATTATCTACAATTCCTTATTTTGGTTTTTCGATATTCAGCTTTTTTTTTAAATTCAAAATTCATGTTCGCAACCACCAAAACAATTAAATGTGTTGGTGGTTGCATATTTGCATGTTTATCAAGCTTGGATCCGTGAAAAGCATATTTTATTGATAACCACGAAAAACTAAAAAAAGCTAATTGTAGAGATTGTAGATAATATATCAAATAATGTTTATGCCAAAGGATTTTGGAAATTATTGCGGATTTTTTGAGATGACTTTAAAACGAATTTTGAAGGTGAAAGCAGTTCAAGCAATTTCAAGTAGATGGCGCCACGGCAAAAAAGCTACATTGGGAGCATCATAATTGTATATTTGTCTTTCTCTGTCACTAAGTGTTTCACGACAAACAGATTTTGTTTTGGACAAATAATAAAATATTGAACCCTATTTGTAGAGTGACGCAGTCGTCATTTTCAAAAACTAAATTTAAACATGGCGGCCATTAACGCGGCCTTAACACTATGTTCTTTTCCGCAACACTTACAGCTTCCCCAAGAGCTTCCCTTATTATTGGTCTCGCAGCTAAATATTTCCAACTTTTCCATATCCTTTACTCCTTATATACTCTGATTCTTTTCTAGTGAAATTAATTTCTTTTGTTTGCTTGCATTTCTTTGGACTCTTTTTCCACAAGCTCTAAACTGATTGCTAATTTTGATACGTCTGAAAAGTTCCTATCTTTGATTAAAATTTCTTTTTGAATTTTTTCACTTCTTAATCATGCAACAAACCTGTCTCTTAAAGCTTCTTGAAGAAAATTTCCAAATTTGCAAGATATTTGCCATTCTTTTTAGCTCATCAATAGCATAATCATTTATAGATTTGATATTTTTGATCTCGTTTTGAACACTGAAATCTTTCAACTATTTCTAATTTTGCAGGTTGAAAGTGACCTGACAATAATTTTTCAATTTCGTCAAAAGTAAGATTTTCAGGTTCTTTAGGCATACCAAGATTAGTTAATATATCATAGACCTTTGCACCTATCAAAAGCAAAAAAATGCCTCTCATTTTAGCTTCTTCTGTACCATTTACTGTAAAATACAATTTCATCCTTTTAACAGGTCCCAAAAGACTTTATTGGAATCAAACTCTTTCAATTTTCCAATTTCTGTCATTTTTGGATTTTTTTCAATAAAAGCTAGTTATAAGAAATACCTGTACCTAAGTTTTTCTTGCGTTTCTTGACTCTTATAACAAAATTTCTCAGTAATTCTCAGCTCACTAAAGTTATAAAAAAAGTAACTTAAGGCTAATTCACAACACCCAGCAAAGCTATTGTAAAACTATGCAACTTTTTAAATGCGTCCTATAGACTTTAGGATGCGTAGGTACCTAAACTTTGGAAAGTTGCAGAAGTTATCATGATACCAAAACCAGGAAAACCACCTCATGATGTGTCATCTTATAGGTCAATACCATAATTGCCAGTTTTATCTAAGCTTGAAGAGATTAAAAGATACTGCTTAAAAGAATAAAACAAGACAGAAAATCATTCCAACTCATGAATTTGGACTCCTCGACAAGCATTCTACGATCGACTAAGTAGACAGAATAACCAATATAATAGAAAAATCGCTGGAAGAGGG